GTACGTATTGCTAAGTATTGTTTGATCTTTGAATTAGAATTGTGTGCTGGAATTGGGGGGTGGGCTGATAAAAGTGTTAGGGAATTGGGCTTAAAGTTTGGGTCATTTGTTGGAATTTTGGGCTTCTTATAAAGAGTTCAAGGTGAAGTAAGAAAAAGGGGGTTAGATTAGGAATGACTATATGGATTTAGATCATAGCCAATTGAATTAAGAAAAATAGTCATTTTGAATTTGGCTAAAATTCAAATAAGATGAATTAATATTAATTAATTAACGAGCTTCTTAATCTTAACAACATTAATTAACTTAGCTAAAACATAATTAAATTAGATGCAAATTAATTAACTCAAAATTACAACTATAACTTAGACCAAACTAAATTAATAAAATATTTAACTTGAAATGTGAAATCTTTGGGGGTGATTATTAAATATTTATAAAAAGCATACTAACAATATATATAATTTTATAAAGCATATTTATTATTCAAAAGTTATAAAATTTACAAGTCTATTTTAAAACTTTAAAATTGTAACTATAACTTAAACTAAAGTGAATTAATAAAACACTTAACTAAAACGTAACGTCTTTGGAGATGATTTCATAAAATATACTAATTAGGCAAAACATATTTATCACCTAAAATGTTGTAGAAATGACTAAAAATCATTAAAGCTTCTAAAACATTTCGAATTTTTATAAAACTAATTATTTCAAATTGTTTGAAATTAAGAAATTCAAAGATTAATTTCTATCGTGGAGGGTCAAAATTGGGTGTCAACAACTGTCCCACATTTTTCTTGGATTGATGCGAGAAATCCGAGAAAAATGACATTGACGAATTCAATTTTGATCGACCACATCTTCATCGTTTGGAAAAGGGATTCGGTACGGACTCTCGGAATTATGGCCGAACCTCAAAAATGGGTTTCATACATATCTCAGGCGATATGAGAATTCAGGCCACTTGTAGTTCGATGCGCTTGATTTTACGCACGATTTTGAAAGAATTCAAAAGTCATCCTGATACCGAATTATGGAGGGACCAGAACGCTCGAGAATAAGATTTAAGAGCGAATGATGGAATTCAACCGAGTTTCAACACTAATCCTGCCTACATATCCCTTAACTTAGGGCATCAAGCTGCTTGTAGTTCGACTCAATTGGTTGAAAAAGAAATCTATTATGCACGATAACCTTTCATTTTGGGATAGCGACAAAGTAAGCCGAGTATGAAAAGGAGGCTTGTAACCTCTTAGTCATGAATGTGGCGCGCTCAGATTGGAAAGCTGTTTCCGGTAGAGACCAAAAAAATTCCGAATGCGAAGTCGAAACCGATAAACCCAAAGAAAAACCCACATGCCTTTTAATAGGGGTGTGGTTTGATTGTGGTGGAAGTTGCTTTTCTGCTGGCGTCCTAAGAGTTTGACACTCCTCTTTGGACTATGTCCCAGTTTGTTGCTAAGAAAAAGTTTCACGTTGTGCTGCATCTTTTTTTATGTCGTTCGTACCTGTGATTTGTTTTGGAGAATTCATCATTTCGGATGCTCTCGACAAGGACTGAGATAAAACTCGTTAGCATAGAAAATGCAATTCGAACGGAGATATAGTGTCTTTTACCGTGTTGACACTTAATCTCTCTCCTTGAATATCTGACGTCAACTCCATCGGGTTTGACGTAAAACAAATAAAGTTTGTGTCTATTTGCAATATAATCTTCAATGTACTCTTCTTTTGATGTCAAAGTAATAAAATAGGCTGATGTAATATGTTGATAGTTTTCTTGATGTCGTCTTTGCAAAGGAAAATGATGCAGTTGATGTTGATTCTCCTTTGATGGGTAAATCTTTTTCTTGCGATGCATAACTCCTTCTCTTGCTATGCATGAATCCTTCTCTTGTGATGTATGAATTCTTTTCCCGCGATGCATGAATCTTTTTTCCGCGATGCATGAATCTTCCCTTGCAATGCATGAACCTCTTTTCTCGCGATGCATGAATATTTTTCCCGGGATGCATGAATCTTCTCTTGCAATGCATGAATTCTTCTTCTCGCGATGCATAACTTTTCTCTTGCTATGCATGGTTTCTTTTTCTTGATATGCATAAATCTTTTTTTCCGCGATGCATGAATCATTTTCTTGCTATACATGAATCTTCTCTTACAATGCATGAATTCTTCTTTCCGCGATGCATGATTTTTCTCTTGCTATGCATGATTTCTTCTTCTTGCAACACATAAATCTGTTTCCCGCGATGCATGACTTTTCTCTCAATGCATAATATTTTTTCCGCAATGCATGAATCTTTTGATGATGCCTCCCTGATACTGAGCGAAGATAATGCTTCACTGAGCAACATATGTGATCTTCTGGGTATCTTTTGGACGGCGGTATCGTCTCAATCGACAATATAAATAAAAATGACTCTCCGAGTAGTGGTATCATCTCATTCGACAATACGATATAAATGACCTTTAGGGTAAAGAATATTATCATATCTGATAATATAATGTAGATAAACGTCTTGCAGATATCTTTAGTTGATGGAAAACAGTAAAGTGTTTTTCCTCGGGGTTCTCATTTGTTCCATTTCTGAACATAGTTGCATGTTCATTATGGACTTCGCCCTGTTGAGAAATGAATGAAATAATGTTACTTATATTCTCAACTCTTTGTCATAAGAAGCATAGAATATTTCCTACATCCACAGAAAATTGTCAATTTTGGGGAGTTCTTCGCCTTTTTGACTTCTTCAAATTCATTGAATAGGGGAATATGATGATTTTGAGGTAAACCTATAAACCTACATCTAGTTTGAAAATGAACTGATTTGTGTCGATCTCTTCGTTTGTCTACTCCTTGTCTAGCAATCTCCGGTTGATTTCTCCGACCTCCCGCTTCTTGATAGATAAGACAAAACATTTTTATGCAAAAATAATTGAAACATGAAGGATAAGTTTTTAAGGAAAATAGATTTTCAAAAATAATGTTTGAAAAAGGTCACTGTCAAGTGTCATGTCACGTTAAACTTAATGAATGCCTTGGGAATTGATGTCTTGAGATCTATCTGATCATTTGTTGGGAAGTATTCAAAGTTGCTCCAAACGACCAATAAACCCTGTTGAAATTTTGAGGCCATCCTCAAAATTTATGTCTCAGTTAACTGTCTTGGCTTATCTTTAACCGTTGGTGAGCAAATCGCAGAATTTTTGAAATCTTCTCAAAAATTCAATCCAGTTGCAAATTTCAAAGTAACTTCACTCTTAGTTTATTAGGGAAAATCCATTCTTTCTTTTTTTTTGAGAATTTTTGAGTCTCTCTCAAATTTTTTGTCTCAGTTTCTATTGTAAAGAAAAAAATAAAAATCTTACGGGAGATATATCCGAACCCTTGTGGTGCCTACGTATTCCGTTGAGGCAGGAATCATGTCAAACGTAGTTTCCCCTCTCGAGGATTAATCAAAAATTAGAAAATTACAAAGAAACCGACCGAGGCCGACATAGGCCGCCTACGTATCTCATTCTTGAGAATTCAGGTCGAACGTAGTTTAAATACAAGGAAAAATATTAAAAGGGGATAAGGGGTGACCGAGGCCGACATTGATCGCCTACGTATCTCATTTTTGAGAATTTAGGTAGTTCATTACAAAAGGGATAAAATTTCAAACAAAGCGATTACAAGCGAATAAAACGATTACAAGGAAATTATAGAAACACAAAGTGAAGCTTCACACATAGTATCTCTTGACAACATCTGAATTGATTGGTTTCAGTCATTCAGTGCCATCCATCTCCGACAGGACTAAGGCACCTCCAGATAACACTTTGTGAACCATGTAGGGTCCTTGCCAATTCGGTGCAAATTTCCCTTTGTACTCATCCTGATAAGGAAAAATGCATTTGAGAACCAACTGGCTGATTTCAAATATCTTGGCTCTTACTTTCTTGTGGAAAGCAAGAATCATTCTCTGTTGATACAGTTGTCCAGTGGCGGAGGCAGGAATTCTATCAAGGGGGTTCAAAAAAAAAAATTAAATACGCTAATATTATCCATAAATAAACGGGTCGGGTCATATATGGACGGATTGATTAACAAACGGGTTAACAAAAAAAATCATTAGTTCAAATAATTTCTTACAATTACAACTCATCTTAAGAAACAAATTTAAAGTACATATCTATAAAATGATAATAAAGTAGCACAATTCAATCAAAAAGTTCTACAAGTTCTTCAATTCCTTTAGAATTCTCTTCGGCTCCTGAAAGTGCAAATGGAGAGCAAGCACAAATTTAACATTAGAAAGACTAACAAAAAACACAAATCAAAGCAAAAATACTATTTCTTCACAAAAATTCTTTTTGGCATAAAATGACTTCATTACATTACAAAACTACACAACCTTGAAGGGAGGTTAAGAAACCAAACATGCGGATAAACCTATCAAAACATAGTTTTACATTTGAAAATACAACTACATACATTTTTACAATTGTATTCTACGAGGTTTCATATCTTGAAATCTCTTAATAATAATATCATTAGAAATCTTATCAAATACATCTTTTTCTAAATAAGGCACCAAACAACCACTAAAAAAATCATCACTCATTTGACTCCGCAAGTCATTTTTGATAAACTTCATTGCCGAAAAAGCTCTTTCAACGGAGGCAGTGGCAACTGGTAAAAGTAGAGCAAGTTTCACTAAGCGAAATACAAGAGGATAAATTGAATGTTTCTTTGTCTGAACTAATCTTTTGGAAAGATCACACAGCCCATTTAGATCGGAGAACCTTTCATCAACATCACGAACATCAACAATGTAACTTGCAAGTTGATTCTCAAGAATACTCATATTGGATTCATCAAAGTCATCTGGATATAATTCAGCCATTCTCATTACTTTTCTTATGTCAAAACTTGAAAATGAGTTAATTGGATTCAAGCAAGCAATTCCATGAAGCAAATCGGTAGTCACCTCATCAAAACGATCATTAAGTTCTTAGAGTTGCCAATCAATGATATTGCAAAACACTTCGACACGATAATGATGTAAGATTGTATAGTTAGCAAGTTTCCGCCGTGATCTTAAAGAGCTAACATATTGCTCCTCAAAGTTAGGTATCAAAATATCATGTTTGATACAAAATGTAGATACCTTGGCAATAAGAGAATCCCATTCATCATCTCTTAAGACTTGCAACCTTCTCTTTGCTACTTCAACAAGTAGCATGGCATTTGCAATATCTTGCTCTTTTTTTTGTAAACATTTATTAAGCTCATTTGTGATTGCTAAGACATCTCTCATCAAATGCAACATAAACGCAATCTCAAATGTTTGACAAGCTTCAAGATGTTCCGTTGCCTTGGCTCTTTCATCCATACTCCTTGCATCAAGAGCAAGTGATTCAAGAACCTCAAGAATAGAGCCAAACATAATAATAAAATTGTTAAAGGATTTATAATGAGATCTACAACGAGTATCACAAGCTCTTGAAAGACCAAGTTGTTGATTCAAGCCCCTACCGGTTGTAAGTTCACCCATATCTAATGCCACTTGAATTGTTGATTTTTGAGAATCTCGTAAATTATTCATACGCTTAAAAGAAGATCCCAATACATTAAAAATATTTGAGATCAATACTACAAGTTTTCCCACTTCAACACACTTTTTAGAGACCCCAACAAGAGTTAGTTGAAGTTGATGAGCAAAGCAATGGATTGAATGAGCCGATTTACTTTCTCGTCTAATCAACATTTTAAGGCCATTGATCTCACCTTGCATATTACTTGCCCTATCGTAACATTGTCCACGCACACTTGATGGACTCAAAGAATGTTGAGCAAGTAAATTAAAAATTGCCTCCTTCAAAGATGAAGCACTAGTATCTTCAACATGAACAATGTCAATAAGTCGCTCCATTACAAATCCCATTCTATCAATATAACGAAATACAATAGCCATTTGCTCCTTGCGTGACACATCAAAGGATTCATCAACTAGTAAAGCAAAGTAGTCACCATTTAATTCGTCAAGAATAGCTTTAACGGTCTCTATCTTACATGCACTCACAATATCTTTTTGAATCATTGGAGAAGTCATTTGATCATTTACAGAAGCATGTTTCAAAACATAATCATGAATTTTATCACATTTTTTTGCATACCATGAGAGAATTTCAAGAAAGTTACTCCTATTAAGTGATGATTTAGATTCATCATGACCTCGAAATGCAAATCCCGACTTATGAGAAGTCTTACTACATCAACCGACGCACTTAAGCGCATATAATATCCATGCTTGAGTTGATTAGATTGCCTCTCAAATGCAAATTGAATAGACCGCCGTTGTTGTAGTAAATCTTGACATTTCTTTTTTGATTGATTATGTATGCTATTCGATAGACCAATATGTTTGTCAAGACCACCCTTTTTGTTCCAACTCTTAAATCCTATAGTTGAAAATGTCTCCCCTCCTCCTTGATTAGTGTTATGATCTTTAAAAAGATAGCAATACAAACAATAGACTGCATCTTTACTAACACTATACTCCAACCAATCATGATATATATCATCAAACCACTCATGATTAAAACGACGCATTGATCCAAAAATATATGTTTGAGGATACTCTTGCACCACCAAACGAGGTTGACAAGGACCATTCAAAAGGTATGCTCTTCTAATAACATCACGGTGGTTTGGATGATAGTTCAATATTGATGTTCTTTCACCAGGATCAAACTTTAAAGAACTCAAATCAAATTCTTGAGAAGAATCTAACGACACTTCTGAATGATTAGCATTTTCTTTTTAATTAGATTGACTATGACTTTGAGAGGCTAAAGTTGATTTCGGTACTTGTGTAAAATACTTCTTCACTGAATATTGAGACTGAATCGTAATAAAAATTTAGTGAGAACTTACAAAAATTAAATATGCAATAAGGACCAAAACAAATTATAAACAATGAACAAAAGTTTGAATCTCATAAATAAAAGTTAATATCCATTTAAGAAATGTTGAATGTCCATAATAAACATATAAAATCAACAAATAAGGCCAAACAAATAAAATTATAACTTTCATAATCAATTAATAGAATTGAAATTTTTATATGAAAAATAAAAAATTGTTAGGAGAAGTGAATATCTGAATTCAATTAGCTAAATAAAATAACACATCAATAAATACCATAATCAAAGCATAGAATTCTGAAAAATAACAATTAAAAAAAAAACGAAAAAGAAAACTTACAGAAGTTGCCATCACAAATGGAGCTTGAAAGAGAGAATCTGAGAATGAGATTAAGAGGACCACCACTCGTCCACCAGGGCAGCAAGCAGCAGCAACAGGCTTGGTTTTCAATGTCTCTAAATGTCTCTAAATTTTCAATGGTTTAAAATTTCTCTGTTTTGCTGACTTTCTTTGCTAGGGTAGTTTCCTATTTTGTAATTAGAAAGAATGATTTAGGGCTTTAATTTAGGCTTTGTGGACATGGGCTGATCTGGGCCTTTTTTTGCCCCTTTTGTTCAATAAAAATGGGCTGGCCTATCTTTAACTTTAAAAAAAAAAAAAAAACAGCCTGTAAAATCGCTAAAAATTACAACAAAAAAAAATGTTGTTGCTTGGACTCGATCCCGCGACCCAATGCTCACTTGAGCGAAATCTTGAACCCCCTCAACCATTGGGCTACTCCTTTGATATATATTCAGGTGGTTCAATTTTAAATATATACATGTACATAAAAAAATCAATCTTATATATATAGTGTAATTTTTTTACCGAGGGGGGTCGGATGACCCCTCTCGAAGCACTGTACATTCGCCCCTGCAGTTGTCCATGACAAACAACAATCATTCTCTTCTCATCAATCATTGTTAGCTGGTCAATTCTTTTGCGAACCCATTCAGCATCACTCAATTCAACTTCTTGGATGATTCTCAGTGAAAGTATCTCAACTTCTGCGGATATAACTGCTTCTATTTCATATACTAGCAAATATGGAGTAGCTCCAACCGACGTTCTAACAGTCGTTTGGTAACCCAATAAAGCATATGGCAACATCTCGTGCCAACCTCTCCAATTATTAATCATTTTCCTCAAAATCTTCTTTATGTTCTACTGCTCAATTCATTTGAGGACGATAAGCGGTTGAGTTTCGGTGAATAATCTGGAATTGTTCATATATTTCTCTCATCAAGTGGCTGTTGAGATTCGCTCCATTATCAGTAATGATGGATTTCGGTACTCCAAACCTACATATGAGATTGTGGCGAACAAAATCGGCTACAACCTTCTTGGTCACCGACTTATACGAAGCTGCTTCCACCCACTTGGTAAAGTAGTCAATGACAACCAAAATGAATTTGTGTCCATAAGAGGCGGCTGACTCTATTGGACCAATGACATCCATTCCCCAAGCTACAAATGACCAAGGTGAACTTATAGCATTGAGTTTGTGAGGCGACACTCGAATCAAATCACCATGCACCTAACACTTGTGACACTTCTGCACAAACTTGCAACAATCATATTCCATCGTCATCCAAAAATAACCGACCGAAGGATCTTCCTTGCCAAAGTGAGTCCATTTATGTGAGTACCACAAACTCCGGCATGTATCTGGTCCAGAAGCTTTGCAGCTTCATTAGGATCAACGCATATGAGAAGACCTAAATCTGGAGTCCTCCTGTAACGGATTTCCCCACTAGCAAAGAAATTGAGGGCCATGCGGCGTATCGACTTCTTTTGGTTGAACATTGCATTCTCAGGATAAGTCTCGTCCTCTAAATACTTCTTGATGTCAAAATACCAAGGAAGACCATCTGGTTCCGCTTCAACATGTGAACAATGGACAGACTGCTCTTTTACCTCTATATCCACTGGATCAATATAGCTTGTATCTGGATGTTTAATCATTGAGACAATGGTGGCAAGAGCATCAGCCAACTCATTTTGCGTCCTGGAAATGTGTCTGAACTCAACATTGTGAAATCTTTTGCACAACTTCTGTATATACTGCACGTACGATGTGATCTTTGGGTTCTTTACGGCCCATTCTCCTTGAACCTGATAAATCAGCAAATCTAAATCTCCAATAACCAGCAACTTGTGAACATTCATATCAATTGCCATCTTCAGACCGAGGATGCAAGCTTCATACTCAGTCGTGTTGTTCGTGCAATCAAATTAGAGTTTAGCTACCATTGGATAGTGCTGACCGGTTTTTGACACTAAGACCGTTTCGATTCCTTTCCCTTGATGATTCGCCGCTCCATCTAAGAACAGTCTCCAACCAGGGTACGCTTTAGAAATATCCTCACTCACAGATGTTATTTCTTCATCAGGAAAATAAGTATTAAGCGGTTCATACTCTTCATCAACTGGATTCTCTGCAAGATCATCAGCCAAGGCTTGTGCCTTTATCGCCTTCTAGGTCACATACACAATGTCAAACTTAGCCATTTTTGCCAACTTCCCAGTTGGCATCGCCTTCTGAAAAATATACTTTAATGGGTCCATCTTGAAAATAAGGTATGTGGTATAAGAAGACAAATAATGTCTCAACTTTTGAGCGATCCAAGTCAAAGCACAACATCTTCTCTCCAAAAGAGTGTAACGAGCCTCATTAGAGTGAACTTTTTGCTCAAGTAATAAATGGCTCGCTCCTTCTTCCCGGTTTCGTCATGTTGACCAAGCACGTATCCCAATGCGTTATCCGAGACTAACAAATATAGCAATAACGGACTCCCTTCTTGTGGAGGGACCAACACCGATGGATTGGACAAATAGTTCTTGATGGCATCAAAAGTAGTTTGACATTCTCCGGTCCACTTGGTCGAGGCATCTTTTTTCAATAACTTAAAAATGGGTTCACACACCACGGTGGATTGAGCTATGAACCGACTGATGTAGTTCAACCTTCCCAAAAAACTCATCACCTCTTTCTTGGTCTTCGGATGAGGTAATTCTTGAATCGCCTTGATCTTTGAAGGGTCAAGCTCAATGCCCCACCTGCTGACTATAAATCCCAACAACCTGCCAGCTGGCACTCCAAAAGCACATTTGGCAGGATTTAACTTCAAATTGTATCAACGTAAGCGATCAAAAAATTTCCTCAAGTGAGTCAAGTGCTCCAAACTCTCGCGGGACTTGATTATGACATCATCTACATACACTTCGATCTTTTTGTGAATCATATAATGAAAGATGGTTGTCATAGCCCTCATATAAGTAGCACCTGTATTTTTGAGACCAAAGGGCATCACTCGATAATGATAAACACCCAAGGGCGTGATGAAAACTTTCTTTTCCGCATTTTTTTCATCCATCAGGATCTGGTGATAACCCTCATAACAATCCGCAAATGACTGCATCTCATGCTTAGCACAATTATCAATGAGGATGTGAATGTTTGGCAATGGAAAATTATCTTTTAGGCTTGCTTTGTTGAGATCTCTGTAGTCAACACAAATTCTGATTTTTCCGTCTTTCTTGGCAACCGGAACAACATTAGCTAATTAAGTCGGATACTACGTCACTTCCATTACTTAGGACTCGATTTGCTTTGTAATCTCCTCTTTGATCTTTAAACTCAACTCAGGCTGGAACTTCCAAGTCTTTTGTTTTACTGGACTGAAATCTGGGTTAATCGGAAGGGACACCATATTCGTACTTAGCCCTGGCATATCCCTGTAAGACCAGGAAAATACGTCGATGTATTCTCTGAGCAAGCAAACCAGGTCTCTTCTTTGAGTTTCAGTCAGATGGACACTAATTCTTACTTCTTTAACACATTCCTTATCTCCGAGATTCACAGTTTCAGTTTCTTCTAAATTCAGCTTGTGTTGATTCTCAAATTGTTGAAACTCTTCAGTAACGTGTTCGGGTACCTCATTTTCATCTTCATGCACCTCGTACTCATCATCACCCGCCTCATTTTGTTCACTCAGTTCATGACATGATATGACATTAGCAAGTTTTAAATTATTATTTTTGAAATCATAAACATACAAAGTTAGAAAAGTAAAATATGAGTAGATAAGTAAACAAATGTTTGATAAAAAGAGGCTTTCATTTAAATTGAAAAACCAGAAAAAA